ATAAATTTGGAAAATAAGGATAATTTGGTAAAAAAATCACTTACTAAAAATGAATATAAGCATTTTATTTTGAAACCTTTAAAAAGGAAACTAAGCATCTAGAAGGAGTACTAATTATTAATTATTAATTAATATCTCCTTAATTACTATTTATTAATTATTAATTACTAACTTTTAATTACTAATTGTTAATTATATACTATTTATTACAGTATTAATTGATTATTAATTACTAATTATCAATTATTTAATATTATATACTAATTACTAATTACTAATTACTAATTACTAATTACCAATTACCAATTACCAATTACCAATTACCAATTACCAATCAATTATTATTAATTATTAATTATCAATAATCAATTATCAATTATCAATTAACAATTATCAATTATGAATTATGAATTATGAATTATGAATTATGAATTATGAATTATCAATTATCAATTATTAATTATTATTAATTATTAATTGTCAATTGTCAATTGTCAATTGTCAATTGTCAATTGTCAATTATCAATTGTCAATTATGAATTATGAATTATCAATTATGAATTATCAATTATAAATTATCAATTATCAATTATCAATTATCAATTATTAATTATTAATTATTAATTATTAATTATCAATTATCAATTATCAATTATTAATTATTAATTATTAATTATTAATTATTAATTATTAATTAATTATCAATTATCAATTATTAATTATTAATTATTAATTATCAATTATTAATTATTAATTATCAATTATTAATTATTAATTATTAATTATTAATTATTAATTATTAATTATCAATTATTAATTATTAATTATTAATTATTAATTATTAATTATTAATTATTAATTATTAATTATTAATTATTAATTATTAATTATTAATTATTAATTATTAATTATTAATTATTAATTATTAATTATTAATTATTAATTATTAATTATTAATTATTAATTATTAATTATTAATTATTAATTATTAATTATTAATTATTAATTATTAATTATTAATTATTAATTATTAATTATTAATTATTAATTATTAATTATTAATTATTAATTATTAATTATTAATTATTAATTATTAATTATTAATTATTAATTATTAATTATTAATTATTAATTATTAATTATTAATTATTAATTATTAATTATTAATTATTAATTATTAATTATTAATTACTAATTATCAATTATCAATTACCGCTAATTACTAATTAGTAATTATCAATTATCAATTACCAATTATTAATTACCAATTATCAATTATCAATTATTAATTAAGGATAAAGAAGTAATTTATTTAATGAAAAGTCGGAAGCCAAAACAAAAAAGCTAGTAAGATTGGTTTTTTTTTTTTTTTTTTTTTTTTTTTTTGTAGAAAAGCCAGCTTTTCAGCTAACTAAAAACTCATTTACCAAACATGTATTTTTGCTGTTTGACCAAGAGAAAAAGCCAAAAGCCAAAATCCAATAAAAAAAAGCTAGCTAAAAGCCATCAAGATCTCTTTTATTTCAATTACATCTTTAATTATCAACAAGTAAAGTTGTAACCTTTTGACATTATAAAAAGAATAGATTAAGGCAAAACAAGATCTCATATGAATAAATCTTTCATTAACCTTAAATCATACTTCGTAAAAGTAAGTCAAAATATTTGTCAAAAAAAAGTTAATAAAAATAAAATATGTGAATAGTGCATAAGTTAAAGTGTTGCAATTTTAACGAAACGGATAAAGTAATAAGTAAAAGTATTAAAATTTGATGTGTTATGGAAAATTATGAATTGGGACAATTCTAACGAGATCTAGATGACTGTGCAATGTAAATCATAAATGAATAGTCAAAGTAAAACTTGTAAGCAGTGTTATAAGTCAAAATATGTCAACTTAAAAAAGGATGAACAATTAAGTTAATAGATTTATATGGAAACTAGCCAAATCGGTATTATTGAATTGATTTAATGTTATGTAATTGACTTGCAACATCTATTAATTTTATTTATACTTAAGTGCGAATCAAATCATAAGCTAAAACTCAATATTGTACTCAAACTTTCTGTTTTTATAGCCAATTAGCTTAGGGAAATACTTTGGTGTTTGGAGTATTTAAGGCTAAGATATAGGAGATAAAAATTCAGGTTCGTTTTAATATAAAATCTTGGCCCTAAGCTGTAAAGACGGATTTGTCATATCAAAGTAGGTTTTTTTGGCTTTTTCGGGTGGGACTTGAGTTTGAACTAAAACTACGCTTTCATGGCTTTCCAAAGTCCTAATTTCTTCAGGTCAGGTCATTGTTGATTTTCTCTAGTTGAGAAATATGGAGATAAATTTGAGCACAAAATCATACTTCATACAGGCATACATGGGCTTTGCTCCAATGAGCTACATAAGTAGCTGAAAAGTGAAGTAGTTAGGCGTTGCCAATTAGGGCAATGTTGAATTTTAAACTTATATTTGGTGACAGTTAGGCCTTATTTAAGAGCAGTTTGCGTCCCATTTAAAGAGTACATACTCTTTTAATTTCATTCATTCTTTTGCTTTTTTCATTAAAAAGACCAAAAGAGCATTTTCAAAATTTAAAGCTACATTCTAATTTTTCTTTCTCCTCATATAATCTCACTATTGTCATACATCTTTCGCTCTTTTCAATTTGACCTGTTTTGACTTTTACACTATTTACCACTACCCCTCCATTTGACCTGGCGAATTATATGTAAGGCAAAACATATTCATGTGAGATCTTTTTAGAATCGTCTTAATAAGTATTATCATAATATATAACTTTTATAATTTTAATCGAAACTAAGTTATAATGAGAACCAAGGCTAAAATAAGAACTGGGAACTAATTTAGGCCCTTTGATCATGTTAATTGAACGGCTCACATGCTTCCCGTGTCATTCATGACATTTTTTGTAATATTTTAACTTTATAACGTAGTTTGCAGTTTCATTTCTCAAAAGTAAATGAAAATTTAGTAAAAGTAATTGAAATCAATCTTAAAGTAAATGAAATTGCCTTAAAAGTTACAAAAAAAAAAACTGGAAAAAAGTTTGAAAACAGCAAAATTACGAGAGTGCCATTAATGAAAGCGGGTGCAATGTGGGCCATTAGATGGAGTGCGATCAATGACTGAGATTAGTTCCTAGTTCCTATTATTATTATTATTATTGTTATTATTATTATTATTATTATCATCATCATCATCATCATTATCATCATCATCATTATTATCATCATCATCATCATCATCATTATTATTATCATCATCATCATCATCATCATCATTAATGAGAACCTCTCCTATATTGAGAACTAGGGACTCATTGCCACGTGGTTCAATCAGAGGATGATATTATTATTATTATTATTATTATTATTATTATCATTATTATTATCATTATCATCATCATTATCATTATTATTATTATTATTATAGGACCGAGTTATAATGAGAACCTCTCTTATAATGAGAATTAGGGACTCATTATAAGCGTTAGATTAAAAAAAATGGACGGATTAGATTTACCCGTAAAATGTCAGATCACACATTCATGCAATCAGCTTTCTCATTCCAGATTCTCTCTTCTCCAAGTCGATAAACCTCTCTGCTCCATTGAAGCTAGTGCTTCGATTTCTCCATTAGAGCAGATTTTGAGCTTTCTCTACTTCTCCATTGAAGCGACTTTCAAGCTTTCTTCACTCCATTGAAGCGGCTTTTGTGGTATTTTTTTTTCTTCTATTTCTTAAATCAAAGAGTTTCATCAATTTCACTATATATGGTTTATCCATGATTAATTGTCAGTATGGTCAATTTAGGGTTCTTCATAGTGAAAATTGAATTTTAATTTACAATTTGAGGTTATGATTGATTATAAATGTACTTTTAATCGTTTTATAAAAAGTTTAATTTCGTTATTCTTTCTCTTTCTATTTTTTTTTTTTTTGTCAACTTATTGTTTGATTGTAAAAAACCTACTATCTTTTTCGAATTTTGGCGAACTCCTGTTCAAATTCCAAATTTAAGTAGGTTTATTTCACTAATTTTGTACTTAAATTTTATCATACTATATACGAAGTCAATTGAATTCTTGATTTATTGAAATATTAAGGAAATACTAGTATTTAATTGATGATGTTTATGATCATAATTTTGATTTTCTATAAGATTTGATTCTCCATGTTTTTTTTTTTTTTTTTTGCGATTTTCTTAGACTACTTTTCTTTTGTTATTTTTCCAGTTCATTTTTGCAGATCGGATTCCTACTTACTTTTCTTTTGTTATTTTTCCAATTCATTTTTGCGGATTCCTACTATTTTATTTAGTCTTAATTGTGGTATATTTGTATATATTTATCAAATGGATAAAGTCAAGTTTATGATGCTTGATAATCCAAAATTCTCTAGTCTCTAACTTTCATTACACGTATGTTTTAATACATTGATGAGTACATTTAAATGACCTTGAATAAGTAAACTAAATTCCTGATCTTAAAGTAAATTAGATATCCTTAAAATTAGAATAAATTGCTCCTAATGTATATAAAGTTTTTTTCTAGCAAGTTAGCAATTGCAAATGAGAGTCTCAATTTTCTCAGTAACTAGCATGTTAGTTTAACTTCTTGATGAAACATTAATTAATAGAGTTACTAATTTATAAGCATAAAGGCACAATTATAAAATCTATGAGTTTGTTTACTATTAATTTCTAACGATTGCCCTGTATCATCATTTGCAGTGCACTTCAAGTAGAAAGCAGCTAAGACAAAGGGGTACCTACTACCTAGTTATGCCAAAATATATAAGGTTGTATTTAAGCAAAATGCCCCTGATTATGTCTTAGTTGCTGGTGGTTTTGTACAAATCATGGCAGGCTACCTAAGCTATGCTAAGAATGTCTATCATCCTCCACCTTCCCACATTACAATCAACAATTCAAGCTGGTCTCCTTCCCTCTTGGCTGAGTATAGAATGAGAACGGGGAGGTTCTGCCTGCAAGAGTCAGGTGAGGCCAATAAAAGTGAGAAGCTAGTAAAAGTAAATCATTTAAATTTTGAAGTAAATAGAAAGACTGATTTTATGATATATAATTTATGAGCAACCAAAATCAAAGTGGAATCCGGGCATATGTACATCTGAAGCATGCCGAAGATACGTAGTTCACTTAAAATCGTTCACTTGGAAGAAGAGTAATTCTACTGTCTGGGCCAGTTGGTATATGATCCTTCTGTTTCTTACAGTAATTTTATATTTTGCTACGTTTTCTTATGATAAATGTTACGTTTTTTTTTTAATCTTCTTCTCTTGCAGAACTTTACCAGCAATTGCTTGTTGTTGTTGAATGTTGCTGACTTCTTCATGAAGGTGGTTTTTGTGCTCTAGTAAATTTATCAATTTCAGAAGTAGATATAAACCAAGTAAAAGTAAACCAATTGCATTTTAAAGTATGAGTAATTGTTGTATGTTACAAGTTGACCTCTTCTTTTGTCTGATGCAGGTTTTTATAAACTTATAGCCATCAACTGATTTGGCTATGGTAGACCAGCCACTCACTGGCAATCTTATCCCCAATGTGTTACAGTATATACATATGATTATGGATTGAGGAGGCTCTACCTCGTGTAATGGATGATGTTATGCTAGATTTTACTAGCATTCCTTTATAAAATTTGTTGTTGCTTTCTGTCAACAACAAAAAAAAATGTTCTCATGGCGAGAAATACATATGTTGTCTCTAAAAGTAAATAAAAAAAGAATATAAAGTGAATAAAAAGGAATTTAAAGTAAACCTATTAGCTCAAGTGGTAGAGCACTATGCGGATGCATAGAGGTTTAGGTTCGATTCCTACCTAGGTTCTCTGAAAAATACATATTAAAACACTTTAAAGTTATTCAAAATAGCTCAAAAGTAAATCAAAATAACTAAAAAGTAAATCACATTAGCTCTAAAGTATATGAAGAATAAATTAGCTTTAAATGATAAATTACAATGGAAACTTTGTTATATACTTATATCACAATAACTCCGAGTCATTAACTTTCATATCCTCAAAAGATGAGTCAAGTTATAAGAAACAAATATATTTAGTTTAATGTAGAGGTTTTCAAATTTAGAGTAAATAAAACTATATTGAAAGTAAAAAAAAAAAAAAGAAAAAAAGAAAAAAAAAAAGAAGAAATTAGTAAAACATACAAATAAATTAAACTTTAATGCGAAGCCTAATCTTTAGATTACACAAATGAACCTACGTGGGATTTGAACCCACATCTTTTGTGCAATTGCACAATGCTCTACCAGTTGAGCTGGTAGGCTAGTGTATATTTCACATACGATTTTTTTTTTTTCAAAAAACCCTCAAAAGTTAATGAAAAAATATCACAGGTAAATCAAAACATCTATATTGTATACATAGTACAATCATCACGAGGGGTTTAGATCATTTCAAACAGCTCAAATAGCTAGAACTTGCATACATAAGATACCATTCCACCAAAAAGAAATCCAAAACTTACAATCTCGATTATTTGTTTGTCCAGTCAAAGTAAAGCTAAATAGCTCAAAAGTAAATAAAAAATCACAAAAAGTAAGTAAAAAATTAAATAGAGTATATGTTCTGCTCATTGTTGGTTGACGTTGTAACAATGATAATAGAGTGTGCTTTATATGTGTGCTTTGTCAAACAATAATACGAGTAGCCTCAAATAGAAGACAAAAATAAACAAAAGGTACCACAAAACTAAATCCACCTTGCTTCTTAGCTTTTATGGGCAGTAAGATTTCATTGAGTTGCGTTTCTAGCAACTGCTATTCTTTTATGCTCAAGGCCTCAAGCCTGGCAAATCTTTACCCAGCAGCCTCCTATAAATTAATACAGTAATGGTTATAACTTAAGCGACTGAGTTCATAATAGTATAACATAGAGTTGAATCAATGACAAGTTCAAGAAAATATACATTTGTTTCACTTGGAGCCTTGATATCTTATCTGCTATTCAAAAAAAAAAAAAAAAAAAACCACCTTGATATCTCATCTTTCAGACTATCAATCTCCTTCAAATCTTTAATGTGCTAATAAGAGTACACATCAATAAGAAAGGCTTGCATATACAAAATAGGCCAACGAATTGTGCAGCTGGCCTTAAGCAGCACAATACATCCCTACCTTTATCCACACACTTTAACATTATCCATCCCTACTGTCTTAAGATAACACTCAAAGGCTCTACTAGTAAAAGATGTCAAACTACGCAACATAAAGAAAGGGAGAAATCTTTGTAACCAATTGCCCTTTTCCTTCACAATCCAAGAGATAAAAGTACTGCAAACCCAACAATTACAACAACCCCAATTGTCATTACTAACATACGGTTTCTCAGTTAACAGGTAGCATAACACCTCCTCCTAACAGAGCTCCACTAATTCATCATCATATTATAGTCTTTCTTCTTCTTTCAAGCATTTCATCAAACATGTAAAACTCAATGCTAAATCCCCAAAAAAAATGTCACTTTAGTATTCGTATACTATCTCATACAACAAAAAACATAGAGAACTAAATTAAAAAATGCAGCAACTGCCCTAATTAAAACAAACAAAATTGAAAATCCTAAAAAATAGCCTAAAACACGAACACAAAGAAATTGTAGTAATTTTAGCAATTTAAATTATGATTTTAAAACAAATAATTGAAATAACCATAATTTCAACAATCAAAATTGTAAATACACAAACATATAATTGTACAATCCCTAATTATATCAATTGAAATCACAACGACTCAAACAAATAATGGATAAAACCCTAAATCGCAAAAAAACTTGTTTCAAATTCGAATTATCAAAGAAATTAATGATGATGACAATCAAATCAACTTACCTGCCCATAAATTTGATAGAATAATGATCATAGATGAAAAGTTACAAATTTGAGAAGAGGACTTGCAAAGAGCTTAGTGATTGCAACATTCGCATGAGAGAATTTGCAGGAGGAGAGAGAAAATGGAATGAAGAGAGAGAAACTTAAAATAGAAGAAACGAAAAATTAGGGTAGTCATTCAAAACACGTAATTACAATTTTGCCCTTAATGAGGCGGGCAAGATGATAGCCATTAGATTATGTACCATCAACAGTCACAATGAGTTCCTAATTCCTATTATAGGCTTTGGTTCTCATATGATCTTGATTATCAATAACTATATAGTATATACTAAAAAACACACCAGCAATGACATGTGTCAATTTATGGTGTGTCCTTAGTATAATTTTTTTAATGATTAATTATTAAATTTTAATTTAAGCAAGTTATTTTAAAAAAAAGTTTATTTTTGTCAACTTTTTTTTTCAACTATATAAATGAGCAATAATACTTACCATTTTTATGTTGATACATAATTAATTACGAAATAATTAGGAAATAAATAATCTTTTTCAAGAAGATATAATTTTAATGAAATATTTTTTTTTAAGAATATGATCTTGGTCAAATATTCTATGTTACTTCAATGTTGTTCGACAATTAACAATTTTATATTTTATGCTATAAAAAATTAATTTATCAAAAGAAAATATAGGGTAATTCAAATAACCGTGCATGGCACGTGACCTAACCTAGTATATATATATATATATATATATATATATATAGGGTTGGGATCCAATGAAAAAGATCTTAAAATGTTTCAACCTCTGTTTTCACCGCAACACGCTGCCTCTCTCTCCCCCTAATAGAACTTACAAATTTTGATTTTAGAGATGAGAAAGTAATTGTTGTTATGAGTAATTTGGAAACCCAATAATAAGTATTTTCGCGCTTCGTAACACAGGTGAGTTCAATTGCCAGATTGCAATCTCGAACTCGTCATAACGTTATACATTCTAGGATTACCATTCACAATGTAGCACAATACCTTAACCTAGTAGAAAGGATCTATCTTATAACTTGGCAAAGATGGGTTGTAGAAATTATTATCAGTCAATTGACCAGAGTTTAAAATAAACATACCTTCCTCATCTTTAAGAATATATAACATTTTGCACAATTAAATAACAGAATATGCGTCTTTAGTACATAGGATTTTCACATTTCTATAAGTAAATACGCACGCACATATCAATTTTATAATATGCACATTTTTAACAAGAATAATGCACGTTTAATTTAGATATTATGCATATTTAGTCTTCTCTATTTTATTTTATACCTGTTATGTTCATGATACAAAACTGTACGTATTCATGAAAAAACTTATAAAATTTTAGAGAATAAGGGTAGGAAAAGAGATGAATAAAGAGGAGAGAGAAGGAGAGGAATGGGGTGGAGATGCAAAGATGGGGAAAATTAACTCTTAGAGAAAGAAAAAAAGGGGGGGTAAAGTGTTGAACATGGAGGGAAAGAGAGGAAGAGAAACACTGGAGGAGAAAAAGAAATGTGGAAATTATTTTTTTCATTATTTACATTTTTTCCATTAACGAAACATGTTATTAGAGCCATTGAATCATTTATTTGAACGTATGAGATTCCTTCTCATCTTTCTCATTTTAACTCCCTTCTCATTTGACCCTATATATATTATATATTATATAATATTATATATATATATGTGTGTGTGTGTGTGTGTGTGTGTATTTATATACTATATATATTGTAGGAGTTTATAGGTACTACGCAGCGGAAAAACATGAATCATATTCAATCAAGCACCAATCCCAAGAATCACATGCATAACACACAAGACACATAATTATACCTTTGACGCGTGAATTCCACGAAGCTATTCGACAGGAAAATCAGGGAGAGAATAGAGCCCCAAGCGTTGCTCCTCTATTTAGTCCATGAGATACGAACGAGCCGTCCACCAATACTAGATTGGTCGAGTGATTGAAGAAAACCGCGATCACCACCTTTATGGACAACCGACCACCGCACGAACCACCACCACCACGAGACACCACCGGCGCCAATAAGGAGGAGGAGAGAGCCGTGTGAGAGAGGACTATGAGAGGGGTTGGGTTTCGTGTTTGCTAATTCGGATTTGATCACACTGATCAGTTAATTGCTTCTTGCTTGCAAACCTAGGCACCTAGTCTATTTATAATCTCATTATAATTAGACTAGGGCACGAAGCCCAAAACTCTCATATAATCCCCATATAGCCGGCCACCTAGAGTGATGAGGCCCATGATCTAACCCCTTTGTGTGACCTTATAGGATCCGTCCAATTGGGCTTTGGCCTATTTTACTAGTCCAAAGATCGTTAGTACCTCTAGCTATGGCAAAACAACGACCCAAATGTACGAACTTAATTATCTCCATAATTTGATCCATTTATATATCTAGTAATTGCACACGACAAAGACATAACTCCTTCAATCTCCCACTTGTCTGAGACAAGGGTGCAATATTCAAATTCCTTAAGTCAATATATGTGTCGATTTGATAATATGATTGCATCACATGTCGAAATCATATTAATCTACAAATCGTTTCTTGAAATCTGAGTTAGAATTACAAAACCAAATGATTACTGTGTAATGCATTTGAACGCGGCCACGTATTTTCTGAATTCTCCCTCTTCAAGCGGCCATGACACATTTCCTAATTTAATAGGTAGACTCTATCCAATCTTGTGGTAACATGATTCCCACTCAACTTCTGAAATAACCGGGAAACACCCTTTATAATCTCCAGTTACGGCTAGACGTATGAGTGTACCACAGTCACAACATCCATTGAATGAAATCAATGTTCCACTCATGTCAAAGGAATCCACTAATATATACGGAAGCTCTATACTTGAACTTCAAAGTAGGTCAATAGTTCGATCATGCATCTGTAGACACCCATTTGTGTCTCCCCAAAACCAAACCCAGTGATGAGTACCTTTCGCGTCGAATCATAATCGAATGAAGTGAAAGTGTGGAAAGTCTAGTGTTGCGGATAGTTCTAATTTCTTTTCTCTTCTCTCTGTTTTTGAAAACTTATTTAAAGAAAACAGCCAATACAGTTTGGTTTGTCCATGATATGAGTCCAATAGTAGTGTAGTTGGATGGGGCTTGACAAGAGCTTTCCAACGATATATTATAAGCCTAATTCCGATGAATAATGAGGAAGTTATGACCAATTTACTAAACTAGGCCCGGTTTGAGCTTTATATACGGCCCAATGATCTAGGGGAGGGCCTAATATGATTTATCATTCCTAATGCAATTAGGAATGGTTTTAGTCTTCTAGATTCTTCTAGAAGGTTCTTTTCATTCCTAATTCAATTAGCATTGATAAATTGACTTTGTTGACTTTTCAGAGTTTTAATTAAAATCAAATAGCATTTTTGAGGAAAATATACGATTTTATCATCCAATACGGCAAACTTATCTGATTTTCGAAAACGCGTCAAAAACAGGCCTGGCACCTGGAACCAGGCCTGGCGCCTGGCGTTAGTGTTGGCGTCTGGCGTTAGTGTTGGCGCCTGGCGCCAGTTAGCCAGGGTTGGTGCCAGCTCTGTTTTTCGTGCGCCAGGACTCTGTTCTGTTAATTTATCTTTTTGGCTGATTTTCTTTATAAATAACTTATTAAAAAAATCCGTTTTCATTCACGAATTCTCATCAACAATCAATTTTCAATTATATCCACTTACAACCAGTTTTCATTCTCTTCTAATTCATTCACTCTCTCTCTCTCTCTTTTTTCTAAATTTGCTTTTTACATACAAAATTCCGCATTCACAAGATCTAGAAACACCTAGCCATATTCGAAGTTGCCTTCGCCCTAGACGTGAAAGGTTTAATTTATGAGGGCTTGGTCCCAAATCTCTCTTTCAATTATTTAATTTAATTGTTTTGATTATTATTTTCCTTGTAGTTACTAACGTGTGTATTTTGTTATTAGAAAGAGGTACGAGGCATCAAAGTAAGTGCTTTATGATTTATTGATGTTATGATGTAGAAATCATGTTTATATTGTTATTATGATATTCCTAGTATCATGTCTAGGGTAATTATAATATTAAATATGATTGTTACGATGCTTCCTATGTTCTTCCTAATATTTATGATTATTAGTATCATGTTAGGGTTAAAGATTTGATTTTTATTGCTTAGTGACATGCTAGGGTTTGTTATTAATCTTGTTAGTATCATACCTAGGATCTTGCTTTTATTATACTTTAATATTAACATGATCATGATTATATTTATAATTTATTTTATTATTATGTTGCTTGATGCTTATTGTTATTGCTTGATCACACCTTTTATGCATGTTTAAAGGGAATTTGGTATTTGTAATCACGCTTATATAAGATATTAAATAATCTTATTTAGGGTTAATTTGATTATATATCAAGTGATCGCCAAAAATAGATTTATTTGTGCATTAATACTCAACCAACATAGATAAACAGGTTTAGGGTTAATCCTATTGATTGCATGTTAAATGAAAAGCGCACATGAATATGATCAGAATAAAATAGAGGCCTATTATTAGGGCAGGTTCAATCTCTTTTAGGTTGGATTTGTATCTTCATCCCCGAACCCTTATTTGGTTCCAGACCTTATGGAGTTAACGATCTCTTGGATCGTTAAGGGGTGTAACCTTCACCCTGTGAACGGTTTACAAGTTCCTAAAAACTTGTTGGTGACTTTTTTGCTCTATCTTCTTCCCTTTTGGACGCCACCGTACTTTAATGTATGATCACAGTGGGGTTCAAGGTAGGGGTTAACGCTTGAAATTTATTCCCCACAGTTTTTGGCGACTCCAATGGGGAGGATTTCTATAATAATTCCTGAATTTGTTTCGGCAATGATTTAGAATGAGTGGATGAGACTCAAAACGTTCTAAGTATTTCATGTGCGTAATTTTGATTAACATTATTGTCATATGCATAAAAAAGATCTCATTGGAAAGACCATCCGTAATGAGTTAAAAACATAGAATTTTACACGTAGGAAATTTGAGAAATATCTTTCACAACTAGGACCGAAATAACACCGCGCGAAACTGGAAAATTTTATCGAGCACAGAAAGCTGTTGAGGCATGTGGGAAGTAGCGCTAGGGGCCAGAGCTTGGCGCCAAATTTTTAGCCGTAGCGCCAAACGCCAGTATTGACGCCAGGTGCTACAGTTAAAAACTGGTGCCAGTCTCTGATTGCTGGCGCCAACCTCCCCCAATACCGAGCCAGAAATATGCGTTCTAATTTC